TCAAGGGCGCCGAGCTCGACCTCCAGACCACGGAGCAGGTGTGCGAGTCTGCAGACGTCAAGGGCAACATCCCCGAGTTCCTGCTGAAGAAGACCCGCGTCTTCGTCGTCTCTCTCAAGAAGCTTCGGGCGAAGGTCGACGCCTACATTGAAGCGGAGAAAGGGCCCAAGGGCATCGAGAAGACATTCGCGGACGACGTGAAGAAGGGCTTGGATGAGAGCAAAGTGACCAACCGTCAGGTGCAGGATCTCATCGCTTGCGCGAAGGAGTTCAAGTGAGAGCAACGCAGTCTTCTACAGCGGCCTGTCTTTTATGCAGTGCGATCTACAGTTTCGAGACGACGTTTCATAGAACACCCTAGTCTGTTTTGCGATATCGTTGGTCAAGTGCACGTTGCTACCTCGGTAGCGGTGGGGAGTGCACCACGGGTTGACAAATGCGATTTGTGAAAAAAACGTAACGTCATCCTCGGCGTCTTCCTCGTCATCCGTATGCCTCTTATGGTCATCCTGCGCACTCGTGGCCATGGCGATGCATGGCGAATGCACGGCTTGCGAGAACACGATCTCGGATATCGGAGCGATCGAGCAGTAAGCGAACGAGTCACCTCATACCCAATCAACGTAAATAGGAAAACGAACAAGAAATATATCGAACCATCATCGATCTACATCAAAACGATCAACTCGCATGCTAGTGGCTGCACTCACACGGTCACGGGGCAGGCGCAGGGGGGACACGCGGCAGACGTGCGGAAGACACGCTGCAGACACGCTGCAGACACGCTGCAGACACGCTGCAGACACGCGGCAGACACGCGTGCGTCAGCATGTCTGCCGCGTGTCTGCCCCATGTCTACCGCGTGTCTGCCGTCGCCCCCCTAGGCAGACACGCGACAGACACGCGGCAGACACGCGGCAGACACGCTGCAGACACGCAGAAGACATGCCCAAGACACGCTGCGTCTGTCCAGAGGGTGTTTCGATCATACGCCGCTTATCCCGCGTCACGTTTCGTGCCAGTGATAACGTTCGCTTGCCAAGTCCTACTCGTGCTCTCTCTCTCTCTCTCTCTCTCTCTCTCTCTCTCTCTCTCTCTCTCTCTCTCTCTCTCTCTCTCTATCTCTCTCTCTCTCTCTCGTTCTCTTTCGATTTGTCACTCCCCTCTTTTGGCCATCGTTTGCTTCTCGACCTCGATCTCCTGACCCCTGCCGGTCCATTCGCAGTCGCGTTCTCTCCCCTCTCCCAGGCCCCCGTTCGATCGATATGCTGCATTAATCTCTTTGCTACCACCCAACGCATTTCCTAGACATACGGCCCGAGCGTTTTGTGATTTGAACCTGCACTACAGACATAACTACAGCATTGTATCTTCAAACATGCGATGTTCAACTACCATCGCAAGCGCACTGCTTGCGTTTATCTGCTGGCCAAGCTGTTGCGTTTCTGTGTCAGATACGCATTGGAACGATAGGATCGCCAATGACGTCACTTTGACCCCGAAGCCGCCTGCCTACTCTCACCTGTTGGGTCCGATTCTTCGACTGGGTCGTAAACTCAGGGTTTCATCTCCGTGCGTCGGGATTGGCGGCACAGCCGTGGCGTTCGAGCAAATGGGGGTCCCATCGGAGAGCATCAACACGTGCGACTTAGAAGATGGATATCGAAGCTGGCTAGTTCACCTATTCCAACAATGTGGGTCTGATTTGACGGACTTGAGGCTGGGCCCTTCTGCCGGCGACCTCCTGGAGGTTCCTCTGAGTGCTCTGAAGGTGGCTGGGAAGATCCAATGTTGTTATACCCCCTTGTCACACAACAGTAACAGCGCAATAGGCAGTATAACTAAACATCGTGATGTTAGGTTTCTGCGGTTTCTGATTTTGTTTGCCCTGCAGGTCCCCTGCGACTTGATCATCGCAGGGCCGCCCTGCCCGCCTTGGAGCAGGCAGGGGCATCAACGAGACTTTCAAGATGGGCGCTCGCGAGTTTTCGTGCGACTCGTGCAGTGGACTTTATATCTAATTGCTTATGGTGGGCTCTTGGCTGCTATATTTGAAAACGTGGTGGGAATATCGCAATCGATTGGAGGTTCCCAACCAGCTGTGTACCAAATTATGAGGACCCTCGTTTTCGTTTGCATTGCGCGGGGGGAAGGGCATTGAACATGTTCTCCCCCCCTCCTCCTCCTCCTCCTCCCCGCCGCCCTCCTCACACCCTCCTCCTCCGCCGCTGATTCCTCCTCCTCCTGCTACTGCTCCTCCCCCATCCCTCATCCAACTACTGCCGCTGATCCCCCCCCTCGCCGGCAACTGCCTCCCATCCACCCGCCCCTCCAACTCGCAAAGCGAAATATTATATCCCAGAGTCCTGAACCAGTTGGCCCCAGAGTTTGTGTGGAGGTGGGATCGCTTAGAAGCTACCGACTTCCTTCTCCCGCAAACCCGAAAGAGAATATTCATTCGTGGAATCAGGCGATGCATCGCTGAAAGCGTCCCACCTACAGCGCCGAGCATTGGATCGCGTACCTTGTCCTCTGCATTGGGTCGGTTCCCATCGATTTCCAGAAGGGAGTTGACCAGGCTTCAAGGGGCAAACCTCCTTCCCCCTCCTCATCTTTCCCCTGCTGTTCCTCCACATCCTCCTCCTCCTGCTCCTTCTCGGCCTCATCCTCCCCCCCCCTCCTCCTCCTCCTCCTCCTCTTGCTCCTCCTCCTTCTCCTGCCCGGCGAGTTCACCGCCCCTCCAACTTTGAGCTACCCCAGGCGGCAGCAGCGCAACCTCGTGGATTTGGAGCGGCTCATCAAGCTTAGAACTCGCTCTGGCGAGCTATCGATCGAGAGCCTGGTAGTGGCTTCGATCGACCGCTCTTTCCACGGGGTATTTTCACCTACTTTCTGTGTAGATGCTTGCCCTACCCTCACAACTTCAAATCGGTATTTATTCGTCGTCTCTGTCGCGTGCGTTTGCGACGGGGTGCCAGACGAGCGCCGCGCCCACTTCAGGTTCCTTCGTGAAACTGAGAGGCTGGCGCTGCAAGGTTTTGATCCATCTGTTGCGTCGTATTTATGTTCTGGGGCGCTTGCCATTAAGGCAGCAGGTAACTCGTACCCGCCACCATTAATCTCTGCTGCTGTCTTTCCTATCTTAGAAGCAATCAGCAGGTCGGGCCTGAACTTGGCTGAGTGGCCGCCGCAGCATATGCTGACGCCGGGAAGGACCCCTGGCTCCGTTGAGCGCGCAGCTAGCATGTTTAAGTCCTTTCAGAAGCGGAAGCCCCCCAGCAAGGACAGCAGGCGCTTGCGCCGCAAGAGGTCTGGCACCGATTGATGACATTCGCATGTAATCGGCGCGCAACGCCACTAGAACGCACGCAACGCAATAAGCACTCAAGTACACGCGCAAGCACGCACGGAGTGAAACAAATTGCGCAGCCACTGTGTCTGGCACCAGTAACTCTTGCAATGTCTGTATGTATTTTGCTTCGCCGTTAGGCTCGCCATGCTTGCCTTGAATGAATGCGTTTGCCGGGAGTGTGTACATGCTAACAATAGATCATCATCCTTTTCCTTCTCCCTCCTGCTCCGCCCTTTTCCGCATTCACCCTCCCCCTCCCGTTTAACTCCTATCCCTCATCCTCCTCATCCTCCTCGTCACCATCCAACCCTCCTCCTCCTCCTCCTCGTCCTCCTTCCCCTCCCCCTCTCCCCCTCCCCACTTCCCCTCCCCCTCCCTCTCCTTCCCCCTCCTACTCCTCCTCCTCCTCCTCCTCGTCCTCCTCCTCCCCCCTTCCCCCGAAGTGTTCATGCCGTCGAGAGCGTCAGAAAAATGAAAGGCACCTGGCCCAGCAGGGCAGCAGGCTTCTCCTCCTCTTCCCCCCCCCTCCTCCTCCCCCTCCTCCTCCTCCCCCCGTCCCCCCTCATTGTTCGACGATGCGTTTTTTTTTCGGCAGAGGCCAGGCTCGCCGGCCTCCGCAATCATCATTTTACGCAGCCTTCATCATCAGCAATATCATCTGTCACCATCACCCCACGTAGCCATTTATGCCAAGGGAGTAACGTGACGCCAAACCGTTCTAAGAACAGCATCCAGATTCACATCCGAGATTAGCTCAGCGAACATGATGGCTGCTGCGCCGAGGGCGCCCAACACGCTCGAGAACCGCGTCTCAGAGTGCATCAACTACCTGGCGCTCAACCTCGCAGCCGCCCAGGACCGGCAACAGCTCATGCCCATGGTATTTCAGCGTATACAGAATGACATCAGGTCTCAGCCATCGATAAGCTTCGCCTCTGCGAACGAGTGCATCAGGCAGCTGGGGGGCAGCCATTTCAACAGCGACATGCGCGCTAACCTGATGCAGGCGATCAACTCCAAGGTGGTCGGCATGTCGGGTGGGGCCATCTTGGGCAACGGCCGCGCCCCTTTGCAGACGCACTACCACTTGGAGCACTACTTGCTGGAGGAGGAGTGGACGGTCCTGAAGGACGACAACGCCACAGTGGATCAGAAGGTAAACGTCCTCGCCAGGAGGTGCGAGCGTATTGGATGCGTCTACCCATCCGAGCCTACCGCACTACACGCTGTCGCTCTGATGATCCAGGCCAGCGGTGCAGGCGCCCAGCCCATGTCGGGCAACAACGCGTGGGCCATCTTGCAGAGTTTTAAGACAGCGCTGAGGTCTCTGAGGGGTCGCATTCGGCAGCCCCACCACGGCGTCGTCCAAGTCTTCCCCTCGGACCCCTTGCACCTCAGGGTCACCGACGCGGCAGTCTTCAATGTGGCTTACCCCAACAACGTGGAACCCGTGGTCAGCAAGGTTCCCAGCCCAGATATCATCAACCTAAGGCGGGCTATTGCGCGCATAAGCCTAACTCCTCCTCCTCCTCCCCCAGTCCTCCTCCTCCCCTTGCTCCTCTCCCCCCCTCCTGCTCCTGCTCCTCCTCCACCTCCTCCTCCTCCTCCTCCTCCTCCTCCTCCTCCTCCTCCTCCTCCACCGCCCCAGGCAGTCGTTGCCGGCGAGGCGGAGCAGCGCGCGAGTGGCTTTGGGCGCTCCGAGGGCCATGCGCCAGGTCCAATCGAACGCCATCCAGAACGCTTTCCTTCAGACGGCCACGCAGCCAGAGATGATGCAGGCGATGCTCGCGCTTTTCGGCCAGGGCGTCCCGAGGGCCGAGCCCACGATCACCATGCTGCCCTCGGTTGGCGGTGCGACCAACGGCGGCGGCGGCGCGCTCACGCTCCAGCCGCACCAGCAGCTCGCCCTGGCCGACGGGCCCCCGCCGCCGCCCCCGCCGCCGGCGCAGCCGGCGGAGCAGCTGGCGGAGCAGCCGGCGGAGCAGCCGGCGGAGCAGCTCGCGGAGCAGCCGGCGGAGCAGCCGGCGGAGCAGGAGCCAGCTTCGGAGGGAGGGAAAGCATCGGCGTTGAAATCGTCGCGCCCCCCACCCTGCCCAACCACCCCCCTCCAAGCACCATCGACCCTCCGTACATGCGGGGGGGAGCGGGGTGGGGGGCGGCGATTATTTCAACGCTTGTGCTTTCTAGCCCCTCAGGAGGCCGCCGCCGGCGCCGCCGACGAGGAGATGGGCGATGGCGCAGTGGAGTCCAAGGACGTCGAGGCCATGGCGGTCGCTCTGGCAAACAAAATGCGCAAGGGCATCTTCGCCAAGGCCAAGGGAAAAGCCAAAGCCAAGGCGAAAGGCAAGGCCAAGGCAAAAGCCAAAGCCAAGGCCAAGCCGCTGACGAAAAAACCCGCCGCCAAGGTCCAGGACGCGGTGACCCCCGTGAAAAAGGCCAAGGGGAAGGATGAGACTCCCCCCAAGACCCACAAGTCCCCGAATGAGATCCCCTACGTGAAGGTCACCGCCGCCATGCGCAAGTTCCCAGGGAAGCCAACTAAGAAGGTGGCGGCGTGGAGCGTGAAAAACTTGCGGGTCTACACGGACGTGAACAACTCTAAGTGGAGGGTGAAGGCGGTGAAGGAGAGGAACGATAAGGGCTTCATGTACTCCGACGATCCCCGCACGGCCTGGTCCAATATGTGGGCGTACGTCGATAGCTTCCCGTGAACTTCAAATTTAGATGACAGGCTCGCCGTCTCAGTCTTTAGGGAATGCTGCGCATTGGGTGCTCAGCTACGCGTCGTGACGCATGTGCATCAGGTATCAATATGAGTTTGGGGTATGCAAAACATGTGCCACTCCTCCCGCTCTTCCACCCCCTCCTCCTCCTCCTCCCCCTCCTCCTCCTCCTCCTCCTCCTCCTCCTCCCGCAGGGGCGCATGCGTTGAGGAGCCTCCATCTCCTCCATTTTGGAAAACAGATGGCAGATCTACCATCTGTCTGCCAGCTCTCCTCGGCATCCCATGCGAGCGAACTGGGGGGGGTATTTAGGTCAGCTGCCCATCTTCCCTTCTGCGCCCTCCTCCCCCCGTTGTTCCCTCCCTCCCCCTTGCCCATCGCCGTCCTTGTCCTCCGTTCCCGCCCGCCGGCGTCAGTTCTAGACTTGGCTTGTGGGTTCCAGTGACCCTACTCGTCCACTCCTCCTCTTCCCCATCTCCTCATCATCTGCCGTTCCCCTCCTCGTCACTTTCGGTTGGACATCGATTTCGCTCCCCCCAGAGCTATCGCGCCGATCCGACTCCATCCAGGAAGAATCAAAGAGAGGATCGCGGGAGACTCGCCCCCGCTAAGCTGCGCGCGCGGGTCGTAGAAGGGGTAAGCGAGGAGGGGAGGAGGAGGAAAAGCAACAGCAGGCGGACGACGACGACAAAGAGTAGGAGGAGGAGGAGGAGGAGGACGAGGAGGAGGAGGGACAGAAGGAGGAGGAGGTGAACGTGACAATCGACGAAAAGAAGATGAGGAGGAGGAGGATGAGGAGGAAGGAGGAGGGACGGGGGAAATTGAGTAGAGGAGCGAGGAAAGCCCATGGGCCTCCCTCAGGCCCCCTACCTCTTCCCTGCAGGGAAGAGGTAGGGGGCCTGAGGGAGGAGGGAGCGAGCGGGAGGAGGGAGAACGGACGAGGAATGATATGGAAACTGGAGGGCCAGGAAGAGAAGGAGGAGGAGGAGGAGGAGGGGGAGGACGATCGGGGGGAGGCGGAGGGATTTTGGGAGTTTGAACGTGCACTGTTTGTGTCACCTAGCGTTTGGGCCTTGCGAAACCCATATCATTTTGGTTAGCGCGCCAGTGGGGCGCGAGGTGGGAAGCTGCGCACATGGCACGCGAGAACATGTAGTTTTGAGGGTCGTCGCCAAGAGTGCATTGTAAAACGATGTTACACTTGCGTTTCAGTTACGATCACTTATGATTTTAGGTACAAAAAAACAACATTCACGTGCGTTCGGGTTGTTACACTTATGCACACTTATAAACACTTATGATTACTTATGAACAATTATGAAAAACTTATATCCGTTTACACCCGCGCGTAACCAGTTAGCAAACACTTATCCTTAACTGCTTAATAATTGAGATATAACGTCCGCAAGTGCGGCGACCACCAAAGTATTCCCGGCGCAGACGCTACTCCCGGCGCAGACGCTATTCCCGGCGAAGACGCTATTCCCGGCGAAGACGCTATTCCCGGCGAAGACGCTATTCCCAGCGAAGACGCTATTCCCGGCGAAGACGCTATTCCCGGCGAAGACGCTATTCCCGGCGCAGACGCTATTCCCGGCGCAGACGCTATTCCCGGCGAAGACGCTATTCCCGGCGAAGACGCTATTCCCGGCGCAGACGCTATTCCCGGCGCAGACGCTATTCCGGGCGCAGACGCTATTCCTGCCGCGGTCAGGTCCATTGGGGGCTCTCCGAAGGCCCCGAAGGCTCCGTCTGCGGCGGGGGGGTCCCGTTTGGCATGGTGTCGGGCCCATGGGCGCTTCTCGCCGGAGGTCCCGTTCGGCATGGTGTCGTGCCCACGAGCGCCTTCCCCGGAGGTTCCGTTTGGCATGGTGTCGGGCCCCCGAAAACCTCGTCTCGGGAGGTCCCGTTTGGCATGGTGTCGGGCCCAGGGGCGCTTCTTGCACGTGGTCCCCTTTGGCATGGTGTCGGGCCAATGGGCGCCTCTCCCGGAGGTATCGTTTGAAATGGTGTCACGGGTCACGCCCCGAAAATTTAATCCCGGGAGGTCCCGTTTGGCATGGTGTCGGGCCCCCTAGACCCGCCCCGGGAGGCTCCGTTTGGCATGGTGTCGGGCCCCCGAAAACCTCGTCCCGGGAGGTTCCGTTTGGCATGGTGTCACGGGTCACGCCCCGAAAATTTGGTCCCGGGAGGTCCCGTTTGGCATGGTGTCGGGCCTTCGAAAACCCGCCCCGGGAGGTTCCGTTTGGCATGGTGTCACGGGTCACGCCCCGAAAATTTGGTTCCGGGAGGTTCCGTTTGGCATGGGCTCCCTAGACCCGCCCCGGGAGGTTCCGTTTGGCATGGTGTCGGCCCCCCGAAAACCTCGTCTCGGGAGGTCCCGTTTGGCATGGTGTCGGGCCCATGGGCGCTTCTTGCCGGTGGTCCCGTTTGGCATGGTGTCGGGCCCATGGGCGCCTCTCCCGGAGGTATCGTTTGGCATGGTGTCACGGGTCACGCCCCGAAAATTTGGTCCCGGGAGGTCCCGTTTGGCATGGCGTCGGGCCCCCTAGACCCGCCCCGGGAGGTTCCGTTTGGCATGGTGTCGGGCCTTCGAAAACCCGCCCCGGGAGGTTCCGTTTGGCATGGTGTCACGGGTCACGCCCCGAAAATTTGGTCCCGGGAGGTCCCGTTTGGCATGGTGTCGGGCCTTTCGAAAACCCGCCCCCGGGAGTTTCCCGTTTGGCATGTGTGGTCACGGTCACCGTGTCACGGCCCGAAAAAATTTTGTCCCGAAAGGATTTGGTCCCGGGAGGTTCCGTTTGGCATGGTGTCGGGCCTTCGAAAACCCGCCCCGGGAGGTTCCGTTTGGCATGGTGTCGGGCCCCCGAAAACCTCGTCTCGGGAGGTCCCGTTTGGCATGGTGTCGGGCCCATGTGCGCTTCTTGCCGGTGGTCCCGTTTGGCATGGTGTCGGGCCCATGGGCGCCTCTCCCGGAGGTATCGTTTGGCATGGTGTCACGGGTCACGCCCCGAAAATTTGGTCCCGGGAGGTCCCGTTTGGCATGGTGTCGGGCCCCCTATAGACTCGCCCCGGGAGGTTCCCTTTGGCATGGTGTCGGGCCTTCGAAAACCGCCCCCGGGGAGGTTTCCGTTTGCAGGGTGTCACGGTCACAGCCCCGATAAATTGTCCCGGGAGGTCCCTTTGCAATGGGTCGGCCTTCGAAAACCCGCGCCCCGCCCCCGAGGTTCCGTTTGGCATGGTGTCACGGGTCACGCCCCGAAATTTGGTTCCCAGGGAAGTCCCGTTTGGCAGGTGTCGGCCCCCTATGACCCCGCCCCGGAGGTTTCGTTTGCATGGTGTCCCGCCCCCGAAAACTCGTCTCGGGAGGTCCCGTTTGGGGCATGTTGTCGGCCCATTGGCGCTTCGCCCGTGGTCCCGTTTTGCATGGTGGCCTGGCCCATATGGACGCATCTCCCGGGGTACGTTTGGCATGGTGTCACGGGTCACGCCCCGAAAATTTGGTCCCGGGAGGTCCCGTTTGGCATGGTGTCGGGCCTTCGAAAACCCGCACCGGGAGGTTCCGTTTGGCCTGGTGTCACGGGTCACGTCCCGAAAATTTGGTCCCGGGAGGTCCCGTTTGGCATGGCGTCGGGCCCCCTAGACCCGCCCCGGGAGGTTCCGTTTGGCATGGTGTCGGGCCCCCGAAAATCTCGTCCTGGGAGGCATGGTGTCGGGCCCATGGGCGTTCCTTGCCGGTGGTCCCGTTTGGCAGGGTGTCGGGCCCATGGGCGCCTCTCCCGGAGGTATCGTTTGGCATGGTGTCACGGTCAACGCCCCCGAAATTTGGTCCCCGGAGGTCCCTTTGGCATGGTGCGGGCCCCCTAACCCGCCCCTGAGGTTCCGTTGGCATGGTGTCGCCTTCGCAAACCCGCCCCCCGGAGGTTCCGTTTTGGCATGGTGTCACGGTCCAAAACGCCCCGAAGACGCCCCGAAAAATTTGTCCCGGGAGGTCCCGTTTTGGCATGGGCGTTCGGGCCTTCGAAACCCGCCCCGGGAGGTTCCGTTTGGCATGGTGTCACGGGTCACGCCCCGAAAATTTGGTTCCGGGAGGTCCCGTTTGGCATGGTGTCGGGCCCCCTGGACCCGCCCCGCCTCGGCATGGTGTTGGGCCCCCTAGACCCGTGGGGAATCTGGGCCAGATTCTCCATGGGAGAGCTTCCGCCGCGGACAGGGCCCGTTGGGGGGCTCCCCGAGAGCTCCGTCCGCGGCCGATGGTCTCACGTGGGGAATCTGGGCCAGATTCTCCATGGGAGAGCTTCCGCCGCGGACGCGGCCCGTTGGGGGGCTCCCCGAGAGCTCCGTCCGCGGCGGATGGTCTCCCGTGGGGAATCTGGGCCAGATTCTCCATGGGAGAGCTTCCGCCGCGGACAGGGCTCGTTGAGGGGCCCCCCGAGGACCCCGTCCGCGGCGGATGGTCTCCCGTGGGGAATCTGGGCCAGATTCTCCACGGGAGACCCCCCGCCGCGGACAGGGTCCGTCGGGGGGCTCCCCGAGAGCTCCGTCCGCGGCGGATGGTCTCCCGTGGGGAATCTGAGCCAGATTCTCCATGGGAGAGCCTCCGCCGCGGACAGGGCTCGTTGGGGGGCTCCCCGAGAGTTCCGTCCGCGGCGGATGGTCTCCCGTGGGAAATTCGTTCCAAGATTCCCCAGGGAGACCATCCGCCGCCGGAACCGCGGGACAGGGTCCGTCGGGGGCTCCGAGAAATCCGTCCGCGGCGGATGGGTTCCCCCTGGGAATCTGGCCAGATTCCTCCACGGGAGAACCCCCCGCCGCGGACAGGGCCCGTTGGGGGGCCCCCCGAGAGCTCCGTCCGCGGCGGATGGTCTCCCGTGGAGAATCTGGGCCAGATTCTCCATGGGAGAGCCTCCGCCGCGGACAGGTCCCGTTGGGGGGCTCTCCGAAGGCCCCGTCCGCGGCGGATGGTCTCCCGTGGGGAATCGGCGCCA